CCCCCTCCACGGCACTGACCGCTCCCCGTTCTGCTCTGCACGACCCGATTCTCATTCCAGCCCACCCCTCGACGCTTCTCCGCTACACTTACCGCTACCCCTCCCACACCCGGCAGCGCTCTCCTCGCCTACAAAGTCGAACTTCGGCTCACATCGCAACACCAACCACGCCCCCACCGGTTCACGCCCGCCCTTCCACCCCGCTTAATGGGGCCGCGCCTCCACTGAGGGAATCCACCGCCACTCCTCCCCACCTCGCCCCGCGTTAAGCTCATCAAGCCATTAACTTATTATTGAGCTGGTTTGTTATCTTTATTAGCCTACATGTCGCAAGCTGTGGAAGCGCCTGATCCTCGGGACGCCCACGCGTCACCTCCCGCTACCAGCTCTCGTGGGCAGGAACGGGACGGGACGGAGAGGGAGGACACGGGACGAAACGGGTCGGGAAGGAGCGAGACGTCACTGGACGGGGCAGGACTGGATGAGACGGCACTGGGCGGGACACGACTGGAGGGGACGAGAATGGGCGCAGCGAGTCGCGAATCAAGAGGCTCAAGACTAGACGGGATGAAACGGCACAGGACGAGACGGGAGACGACGAGACGGGGCAGGACGAAACGAGTGGCGACAGGGCTTAGCGGTTCGGGGAAAGACTGTTCGGGTTGAGACGGGACGGAGTGAGACGGGACGGAGTGAGACGGGACGGACATAGATCGGACGGGACGCGACGAGACGTGGTGAGACGGGGGGGCGAGGCCGGTGGTGGACGTGGTACGGCACAGTCAAGCAAGGTGAGGGCAGACGGGACGGACGGGACCACGTGCCGCAGGAGTGGTACATTGTGAAGATGGACGCGGGTGCAAATGACGGCTGCGGGCTTCCCGCCAGGGTCACTGCCCCACCGCACGTCAGACACACCCACGCAACTCAGACGCAGCCCCGAGAGCGGGGGTGCTGCGGGGTGGGGTGGGGTGAGTGCAAAATGTCTGAGAGACCGAGCGCGGCCACTGGATAAACTGCGGTACCGTTCTCTTTCTCCTACTTTTCCTTGGTTTTCTCATCGTTTACCTCCCTCAAAAATCAGTTGATTTTTCGAAATGGAATTTTCATTGTCTTCTTGATAATCTCAAGTCTGATCTCATATTAATAATACAAATTTTAATTGTTCTATAAATCAATACAAATCCATTCTATAATAAGAATATGGGTATTTTAAGTTAAGATGCTTTTAAAGTATTTCTCTCTCCACACTGTGTCATAATTCTATAAAAAAACTTCCGATGACTAACAGACAACGAAAATTATTTTTAAGTAGTACTGAACAATCTTTGTCATTTGAAAATATATCAAAAATGCACAGCTGGTAGGAGACATTCCCAAAAATATCTACACAGTAGACTAGTGTTGAAGATACACGAAAGCCATCACATCACTGTTGTGCTCCCCTAGAAGATAAATACAATATTTTATTATATGTGCTTTCCTTAAATAATTAATACTACTTACAGTACGACATGACAATACGGAAACAATATTGATTGATTTGTGATTTCGGTCGTGTTCATTTGTCGTGAGGGCATTAGTAGTGCATGTTTTTATCGCGGGAGGCGCCGACCTGCGTCGGCTTACGGGCTTTTCCCCAAACGCCCCCAACCGCTCCAGCCCGGACAAGCTCGAAGTTTCCGACTGCTTTCCTGACAAGTATAATTATGTAGTACACGTTAGTGTAAATGTTTTAGTATCGGATGCGGATAGGTCGCGAAAGACAGGAGAGGGAACGCATCACACGCCTCCCGTTTTTTAGGGTACTGCTCCGGCATTCGCCTGGTGCTCATCGGAGAAACCACGAAAAAATACATATCAGAGCAGCTGGCCTCTAGAATTCTCCTCCAAACAGCGGCTGAATTGGTCCTTGCTATTTAGATTGTGCCATGGTCGAGACTCGAAATCCAGGACCTCCCGGTCAGAGGCACTGCAGGGACATCCGTTGATGATCTGAGCCAGCTTTGCCGATGGGATGGGATATGATGCATTTATGTCGTAAGAGCGAATAAGAGAAATCCGATTCGAACGTAGTATCGATGCTCCTCTTTCTCTCAGCTCCCCCTACTCGCCGCCCCGCCCCTTTGCCATCCAGCGCGGCGCCCACTGCGCCGCCCCTGGCCCAATAACGCCCGGCGCCGCCGCGTGCTCGTCGCGTGAATGATTGAGCAAGCGCGGCTACGCCTCATCTTAAATTGAAGCGGTCCTGGTCCGCGGTCCCCTCTGCTCCGCCGACTGCCCGCCGCGCCGCGTCCCTCCCCTCGTCGAGCCCCGCCCTGGAAAAACACGCGCTCCCCGTTCCCACGTTGCACTTAGCGACCCCTTCCAGACCTCCGCGCCCCGCACCTCCCCTCCCCGCCGCGGCCCGCCCCATCCGGACGCACCTCCGACGCGCCGCGCTCCGTCCTTAACGAAACATGCGGACTTTTCTCGAAACTCTCCACAAACTACGCCGACGGAGGTCGCTGCTAGGGCGGGCTTCCGCTGCACCCTGCCGCAGAAGAAGCAAGGCCTTTCTTGTGGGGATATGTGCGACTGAAGCTATTCTTAAGGAATGAACTGGAATTTCTCAAAGAATCCATTTCTCATGGATTCTTTAGTTTGATCGACAGTTTGATGGAGAAGAATTGATTGGTAATGATTGTTTTCACTCTCTAAAAAGTGCATGTTTTGTAAGTAAATAAAAACACTGCCGTCTTTTTCACGTCAATCTGAGCACAGATAATGTAACTGATCGTTCCCATTCAGAAAAATCATAACTATTGATTATTAATTCAAAAATCACCGATAGTTTAAGCATTAATTAGATCTACAGAAATTCAGGAACACATGGACTAAAATTGTTGTTGCTGTTGTCTACCATGGACAAACTATAGGGTATTAAAATCGTCCATTACTGTCATGACAGTTGCATAAACAGTTGCATACACAGCCCTACGTCAAGACTCTTTCTCGAGGCTTAAAAGGATGATATGAAGAAACTGTGTGCTTTTTCTGAAGGAAATAAAGCATTTTTGGAATATTATATACTGATCAGCGTTCTTATACATGCTAATAATATATTTTGCGCTATGTAAGAAAGCAAGTTTGAAATGAACATAGTTCCCTTGATGTCGCTTCAACATACCACATACATCTGACCGAAAGGGGACAGTTGCAGGAATTTTTGTGGCTAATGGCACGTAATTAAGTAACTGGAAGTATATGTGCTAAAACAAAAAGCATAGATGGAATGTAAGTTTATTCTTCTTAACTTACAAACCTCTATACTTGAAGAGTATACACTTTTGTGACCCTGAAAAAATATTAAATTTGGAAAATAGAACATTCAGAACCTCCAAACAACATTTATATCATAAAAATGAATAGGGTAAATTAGGTAAATGATTGTTTTGTACCACAAATATTTATATCGAAATTCCAGATGCAGGAAACGCGTCCCCGATGTCCATGGCTAGCCGATCTGTGACATGTTTCTCCTATTGCTTAACATACTAATACAAACATTAATTAGACATATGATCACTTGCATTACTGCCAGTGTTTCTCCAGATCTTTAGAAATGGGCAAAACGAGGATGGAGGATCACTGTTTAGCTTGGTCCTAAGAATGGCAGGGGGAACTGATTGGAAAATATACGTCCGTCATCACGGCACTACTCGGGCTTGCCTTTGGAAACCATGGAAATGTTGACCAGAACAACTGGAAACCTCATTTAAGGAATGATCTATCTCGAATCAACGATTAAACGTAACAAAAGTTGGTTGCAAGCGTTGCCTAACAGCAAACTCCCGAGAAAGAGTTTGCGATTGCTATGCCGATGAAGCGATTGCAACACGGAGACAGTTTCCTCAAGCAGTGCAAGCTGTCTATCAGTGCAAGCTGCCTATCAGTGCAATGCTGCAATCCGTTTGCCGCAAAAGCTTGACCGAACGCTGCGCCGTTTACCAAACTGTCGTTGCAAATCTTACTAAGTTAGTGTCGATTATTCGCACTTTATTTTGATTCGCCTTACGGCAATATCTCCAACTGGTTAATGTTTATGATGGGTCGGCGATTTAGAAACAACGATGCGAATGACGATAGTGACGAGAGAATGAAATACAGACAAGACGGGAGCCCCGCGAGAGAACCTGCCGCAAACATGCTTTTCCCCCTCCCCCAAATTCCACATGGCTGGACCGGGAATTAAATCCCAGTCCTATCAGTGGCCGGCAACCACCATACCAAAAGTCTCCCGATAATTGAAGAGTGTTTGTGAAAAACTGTATGTGGCAAAAACGAAATTTTTTAGGAAATGGGAAAAAAATACCTTCTCGAATTTTTTCCAGTTTGCGATTGTTTAAATGAAATTGGCTCTTTACAGAGTATTAGAATCATAATATTGAACTTTTCCATTAAAATATGAAAATTATAATTTTTTGTACTATACCATTTTCCATAAACTTTTCTTCAATTCACCATGGAGGGACTCCAACTTAAGATCTTCCGGCCAAGGAAATTTGCGCTGCAACTCCATACACATTCGGTCCGTTTGATTCATTGGTTAGTTGCTCGGGTTGCACTTATAAGTACCGTAAGTGTAGTGTATTTTTCACTGGTGGTGGTGGTGGTGATCTTTCTCCGCTGAATTGGGAGATCCGACACCAAACTACACGTCGGCTGGCGGGCTTTATCCAACTAACTGTCTCTTCGCAGCGGGGCACAGGACCATGCGCGACCAGCTGAATAATGCTGTCCAGAAATGTGTGGTAGTGTATTGCTCGTAAGTGTAAGGGTATGTATGCAAGAGGTGAGGATAGGTTAAGGAAGAGGAAGGAACGATCGCGCACGCTCTGTAGCCCGTTTGTTAGGGTACTGCATACGTCAGATGTCGATCGGCGAAACTACAGAAAACACCCAATCAGAGCAGCCGGCAACTAGAATTCATCTTCGGGCAGCGGCTGAATTCGACCTACAACTAGTGCCGAAAATACTGCCAGCGTCAGGACTCGAACCTAGGACCTCGCGGTCATGGACACTGCAGCGACATCAGCTGATGCCCCAAGAAGGTACTTCCGGGCCAGGCGCCCCCGCCGCGAAGCGCGCAGATTGCATAGCTTGCCCCCTTGACGCGGCAGTGCCTCGTGTACACGGGGCTGCAACGCGGGCGGTGGGCGAGGGCGCAACCGCGGCCGCGGGGTCAATTAGGGCGGGATCGATGGCGCGGGCGGGGGCGGCGCGGGCGGGGGCGGCGCGGCGGCCGGGGTGCGCGGCGTCGAATTCCCGGTGTGCTCCGCAAGGCGAACTTGTTCCTTAATTGATCCTGAAACGGGCGCATCGCTCAGGCGTCTTGGGAGGGACGGAGACGTGCAACGAGGGAATGAAGGAGGGAGATGGTGGGTCAGGTTAAGGGGATGAGCGGAAGGGGCAAAAGGGGAGAGATAAAAGAGAAGGACGTATAGAGAGGAGGGTTGGGGAGGAAGGGAGGGAGAGAGATGGAGGAAGGAGAAGGGGAATGCCGAGGGAGATGGAGGGGAGAGAAGGGATACGGAAGGGGTGGCTGAAAGATGGAGGAGGAGGGAAGAAAGAGAGGGGTTGAGATGGTGGGAGGGAGGGAAGGAGAAAGCGGAATAGAAAGTGGTTATGCAAGGAGAGAAAGGAAGCGGACGGACAGAGAGGAAGCGACGGAGAGGAAGGGGAGGAGAAGAATAAAAGAATGTACTAGCGGATAAGGGAAGTGTGTACTATTCGTGATCATTTTGACGAAAATAATCGGTGGTACTTGCAATGAATGGTGAATAGATGTAGCATCTTTGTCTTGTCCTTGCACCAGGTACACAGGTTTAGTTGAAATAAATATTAACTACTCAAATCAATAAAAAAAAGATCAGTAAGAGTCAGAGATGTTTGTGAGGAAGATATGGGCAATCAAAAAAGATAAATAGCATTAGAGAGTACGAAAAGAAAACGAAAAGTGATATATATGAAGTATGGAATAGAGCAAGCAACAATTGAAAATAAACGGCGAGAGAAATATTCGTGAACTAAATTAGCCACAAACCAGCTTATTACTGTAGAGAGACTAAAGATGGTTAGAAACGGTAGTTTTTAATTTTTTATGCAATTCCAATTCAGTTTTTACAAACTTGATTGCAATAATTGAAACTATTTTTTATTAGCATATCTTATGGTATTTTTTTGTTTGTGAATGTTTCACTGTGGAATGTTTAGGGCCGTAAAATTTCATGAAGGGGTCCCAACAAATTCTACTTGTTTTAAATTTATTGCTGAATTATGCACAAAGAAATCTCAACATTTTTCATATATTGCATCTCACGTTATTACAATAATTATATGTTCATTAAATATGTCGTTTGGGAAGTTGATGCATTCATATTCTACGATAACATTACTAAAATGAAACAAAAGTATACATAAACACATAGACCAAAGTAACTGACAGTACATGTGTGAGCTGCTGTATCCTTCCATCAGGACATCGCCCCAACCGGGACAAGCTCTGGTCGTCCGATGCATGTAGTGCACGGTGTGTGTGGAAAGGGGGAGGGTATGCAACAAAAAAGGGGAAGAAAGAACGCGCGAAGTCCGTGCCCATTTGTTTGACTACTGATTCTGTATTCCTACAGTATTGATCGGAGAAACCACGATAAACTACCGATCAGATTAAACGGCCGGTGTACTTCTCCGCCCAAGTGGTTGCATTTAGCCTACCTATATCTAGTATCGAGAAACCGCCACCGTCGGGACTCAAACCCTTGGATATCCCGAGAACAGCTACCGAGACCCCGGGTCATCAGACGAACAGGGGGAGTATATTGTCTACCAATTTCTGAGCCGATATCTGACCACTTCCAAATGTCAAGTTTTCAGTGACATTTACTAAAAATCAGTGTTGGAAATAAATAAATAAAAATGGAACAAATTAAAAATGATCATTTTTTGGCAAGGCATCTATTAAGAAGGTAGTATCATAACTGCCGATTGTGAATTTCTTTTTTACTCAATCGGGTGGATCCAGCAATCGATCTTAGGGATATACTTTTTCAAGCTTGAATTCTTGAAGCGGTTTTTACGGTTAAGGTCCAACTTTCAGGACACTATGTGATTGTTCTTCTGTTTATATGTTCCAGAAGTTAACAAGGAACGAAAATGATCTGTTCGTATTGAAACCCAAATGTGTAAATTATGTACTACATCCCTAAGTCCAGATAGCGACACTACAAAACAAAACAGATTTTGTCATTTTGTGAAGAATCGTAGATTGAAGAGATGATAGTACATAGCCTACGAGCTACCAATCTCCCGACATGGTGTCATTGATGTTTTTTTAGGAGATGTGTTGAAGTACAGAATACACAAAAACAATGCACGCACGATAACGGCGTTACAGAAACATATATTGAAAGAGATGTCAACCATAGGATGGTTTTAATAAATTCGTCTGAACGTGTTTTGAAGGATCCCGGATTGTGGGCATAGGCGGAGACCCAAGGCTTGGTTTTAATTGTAGTACCACCAGAGAAAAAAAGGTTTTTAAAGTACATGTAATGAAGCGCTCAATATCAGCAGTTTATGGAACTATAGAACACAAATATGTAATTAAATATGTTTATTGTTTGTGAAATAGTAAAACAGCCGTAAAGCAGTCTGAAAGATTTATTCCACAAGTAAAATACGTATTTTGAATGAACACATCAGCAAACAGTAAAGGTTCTCTCAATGCACGATACTAACAGTGAAGCCCCTCGTCATTTGTCTTTCCAAGAAATTTCCTCAATGTTCATGAAAGACCAATACAAAATTTCAGAGATCGTGCAGATCCACTTTCTTCTCCAATAAGCCATGATTGGTTTCCAATGCTTGTTTTACAACTTGAATGGATATTAATTTCTAGGATGTAATCTAAGATATCGAAAAGTCAGATATTAAACACGTTTTATTACGACTAAAGACAATCGCTTAAATAAATTGTGTCAATTACTGAAATTGATTTAATACATTTCTTCCATATTAGGGTTTGTTACTCAGAAACTATAAAATGCTTCATCTGATTCTCAAGTACCAGGACTTACGTGCTAAGAAACACTGCTACTATATGTATACGTGCTACTCTAGTAAACAATACACACATGGTTTAAATAATATTACAGAATACATTGTTGCAACCATTTCCCTTCCACATTACAAACGCGGGACTGAAACATCTATACTTCATGCAGGAATCCTAATCCCCAATCCTATCAGCAAATTCGTTTCAGTTGCAGCAATTTGATTTCATTTGCCCTGTGTTTCGGAGTAAAACTCAGTGAGTTTTGTTTAGGTTAAGAACATTTTGATGAAGTATTGATGACAAAGTATGGATTTCAGAGTACAAAATTTTGACAAAGTCCAGACCACAGAAGTGTAGTGATCATTATTATGGTCAATTTTAAAAATGATTTCTGCCTTTTAGAGAGATGCCCGTACATTTGCGATTAGGGAAAAACAATCGAAAACCAGCTACTATAAATAAAAATCTGTTAACAACAATGTTACTACACTTATTATATTACATTTAATTGAAATAAAAGTCTCTCATTTTCTTACATTTACACACCCAACGCAAAATGTAGGGACAGCGATTATGCGTTTTTCACGCCGTTCGTTAGAGCGCCGATTCCTTGTTATGGGGGAAGGGTATGATGGATCTCAAGAGTGCACGCTAATGACTTATGGGCAGTTGGCTTCTCGGAGATCCAACGTGATAGCTCGGTTGCCTAATGCGATGCTAATTAGCAGTGGTGGTTGAGGGCCACTTAGACCCACCCCGGGCAGATGATGGGTGGATACATGCGTTGATATTGCCCGGTGATTACGTGATAATGGCTTCGATGACGAGACGGGATCAGAAGTGGATTACGAGAGTAGAAACGATAGTTAGAGTTAAACGGAAGATGTTGCGATAACTCGCTACATTGAAAAATGTCTTTCAGACACAGGGGTGCGGTTTATCTGTTAGCGAGAAACTTTTCATACCTTGAGAAATTATTTTTTAAAGAAATTTGATTCAATGTTAAAATGTGATGACGCAATTTAAACCTTTCAAGATACATAATTGATTTCTTTAAAACCACTATTTTTCGACGTTACATTACTTATCTCGTATGTCTTCGAACATTAAATAATAAAGTGACGAGCAAATCCATGTCTTTTCGGGTTATTATAATCGACAACACTTATGCACATCATGATTATTATTACGTTTAAATTATTATAATTTCTGAATTCATCGACAATTGACATCATCTTTGTTAATATACCTACACGTACGCACAGCTGAAGAGACGGGGCCCGAATTAAAATTTAGAAAGGGGGGAACGCAGTCGCAAGTAATAAAATATTTGTTTCATAAATATTTTCAAGATCTGGTTTTGGGGAAAAGGTTTTCCATATCATCTGAGAATTCTATAAATAATTCAACGTCAAATCAGTTGTATTTATTAATTTTATATTTAAAGTAATATTATATAGTTTAATTCTCTTTGAAGAATGGTTTATTTATTTAATAGAAAATTTGTTATATATATATATATATATATATA